AACCCTCCCCTACCCCAAATAAATAAATAAATAGATAAATAAATATTGCCAAGAGGATATTATGTTTCTACCTATTGTGTAACATGTTGAATTTCTTTCACTATCTTATGAATGCTTCTTAAAGAATCCTATATTGTTATAATTCCCATATTGGATAATTCTAGTACTTGGGAGGTAGAAACAAAAACTTTCTCTAAAAACAAACAAGTAACAACAAAACACATGATAGGAAATCACTGGGAGAATGAATTAACAAGAAGCTGGAATCAGAACTTCTAGTCGGGACTTTTGACATGTTTCAATGTCATTATTTTCATAATGATGATATTTACAGTCTTTAGGTATGGTCCAGATCAATAAAAATTAAATAAAAATTCAAAACAAAAAAAGAATTCAATGGTTTTTTAGGTTTCTTTCTTTTCTTTTTTAAAGACAAGGGTTTCTCTGTGTATCCTTGGCTGTCCTGGAACTTGCTCTCTAAACCAGGCTAGCCTCAAATTTAGAGATCTGCCTGCCTCTGCCTGAGTGCTGGGATTAAAGGCGTGGGTAACCACTGCCCATCTTTGACCTTTTCCTGAATGTCTACTTTCATTTCTTAGTACATTCTCAGTACATTCGTACTGAGCACTGGACCTAGAACACTGAAAACATTGTACTAAAGCTGCAATTCCCAGATTATCTATCTGCCAGACTTATTTTGAGACAATGTCTCATGAAGTTGATCAGACCTGGCCCTGTCATGTTCTGGCCTCAGCCTCATAAGTCTAAGTTATTAGGCCTGGCAAACAAAATAAACCAAAACAAGTGTCTTTCAGTAGACAATTTCTAAAATATGGTGACTTTCCCCCCAGATAATTCTTAGCTTTAGTAATCAAGTTTGGTTTGGGGTTTTTTTTTGTTTGGTTGGTTGGTTGGTTGGTTGGTTTGGTTTGGTTTGGTTTTTACAGGGTTTCTCTGTAGTATTGGAGCCTGTCCTGGAACTAGCTCTTGTAGCCCAGGCTGGCCTCAAACTCACAAAGATCTGCCTGCCTCTGCCTCCTGAGTGCTGGGGAAAAGGCGTGCATCACTAATGCCTGGCTAGTAATGAATTTGTACCTAACTAGAAATCATGCTATTTTTAAATATATATATTATATACATTTCTTCTCCCTCCCCCCCCCCCACAACACACACATACACACACTCACTCACCAAATAAAGGCACTTCTGGCTCTTGCAGAGGACAGGGGTTTGATTTCCAGCACCCACATGGTGGCTCAAAACCACCTTTAACTACAGTTCCAGAAAATTTCACACCCACTATGGTCTCAAAGGCACTGCATGTACATGGTACACATGCATGCAAGCAAGATATTCACACTCAGAAAATAAAACCTTTAATAACAAAAATACAGTGTTTTTTAAAGATTTATATATATTTTAAATTTATGTGTGCATATGCCAGGCATGTGAGGGAGCCCTTTGAAGTCAGAAGAGAGCACTGGATCTCCTACAGTTGAAGTCATTTTAATATTTGTGCATTATTGTACTAATTAGTTAAGACCATGTACCTATTGTCAGGCAATCATCACATTAACTAAAATCATGGTAGCAAGAAATCTCAGCACTATTTTAATAGGCAGGCTAAAAGCAAACACTGCTGAATGGCAAGGATAATTTTTAACCTATTTATCAAGTTTAATAATTTCCAACTGCAGGTTTTATAACTTGTTTTCTTAAAAACTTAAGTTGGCTGGGCATGGAATCCAAGCACTGAGAGGCTGAGACAGGAGGACTGAAAGTTTGAAAGAGGGAGAAAGAGAAGGAAAAGCAGCTGCAACAGCAGGATGCTATAACTTACTAAGTATGTGCTTCTAGGCAAGTCATTAAATGTTCATATGTCTCCATTTTATCTCTAAAGTGGGATAATTGCTATTTAACATCTCAAAAGGGTTACAGAAATTCTGAGTCCACTGATCCACTAGGATGTAGAAGCTACCAACAACTCTAATTCCAGCACTTAAAAGGATGGGTCAGGAGGACCTAGGCTGTGAGAGCCTGCCTTAAAAAGAAAGAAAGAAAGAAAGAAAGAAAGAAAGAAAGAAAGAAAGGAAAGGAAAAGAAAAGAAGGCTGGAGAAGATGTCCAGTGGTTAATTCAAAGTACCAGCTGTCAGGTGGTAGTGGTGCACACACCTTTAATCCCAGCACTCAGGAGGCAGAGGCAGGCGGATCTCTGTGAGTTTGAGGCCAGCCTGGTCTACAGAGTAAGTTCTAGGATAAGCTCCAAAGCTACACAGAGAAACCCTGTCTCAAAAAAACCAAAACCAAACAAACAAAAAGTAGATGGAACTATAAAAAATGCAGCCAGGGCTAGGCAGAGAAACCCTGTCTCTAAAACACACACACAAAAAAAAAAAAAAAAATTAACATATAGGCACAAACATGTAGTATGCACATTAGTATTTTTATAAACTCATTAAAATAGCTCATTAAATAATTAACATATTTTCCCTATCTTTCTTCTGCCTTATAATCTCTCTGATTATAATACTCCTTGGGTTTGTAGTCCAGGATGGAGAAAGGATAGTGTAAACAAATATGGTCTGGCATTATCATCATTGAGAACAAAACCTAAAAATCTTCATTAAGAAACACTTCACACCTGGCAGTAGTGACACACACCTTGTAGGCAGATCTCTATGAGTTCGAGGCCAGCCTAGTCTACAGAGCGAGTTTCAGGACAGGCTCTAAAGCTACACAGAGAAACCCTGTCTTGAGTGGAGAAAAAAAAAACAAAAAACAAAAAGCATTTCACCAGGCAGTGATGGAACACGCCTTTAATCCCCACACCCAGGAGACAGAGGCAGGTGGATCTAAGTAGTTCAAGGCCAGCCTGGTCTACAAAACAAATAAAAACAAATACTAGGACAGCTAAGGCTGTTACACTGAAAAACTCTGTCTTGAAAAAAAAACAAAACCAAAAAAAAAAAAAAATACTTCTACACAACTTTAATCCAGCACTTGGGCAACAAAGGATCAGAGGATATGAGTTTGAGGCCAGCTTGTTCTACATAGTGAGTCTAGGACAGCCAGGGCTACATAATGAAATTCTGTCTCCAAAAGAACAAAAAACACAACAAAACAGAACACCCTTCTAAAAATGTCTCTCTTCTTCTGATTTAGTTTTAAAAACATCTTCACGTTAATACGCACACTCACAAGCTTATATGTACAAATATAATCAATAAATATTTGAGGAGCTTTTATATGCTCTAAATTATATTGTTAAAACAATATAGCTGATGCTAACGTTAAAAAACTAACTTTTAAGGAACTGAAGAGGTAGCTCAGAAGAGCACTGGCTGCTCTTTCAGAGGACCCAGGTTTGGTTCCCAGCACATACATGACAGCTCACAACCATCTGTAACTCCAGTCTCTGGGGATCCCAAACTCTTTTCTAGTCTCTTAGCACAAGGCACACACGTGCTACAGAGACATGTATAGGCAGGCAAAACACCCATACACATAAAAATAATCCTAAAAACAAAGAAACAACAACAAAAAAAAAAAACCCTTAACATTTATAAAATACATCCTTAAGTAATGAACACATTTTCCCCGTCTTTCTACTGCCTGGTAATCGCTCCGATTATGACTCTCCCTGTGAGGGCTATATGGCAAAGTGAGAATATTTGTTTCCCATTCTTGAAGTCCCAGGTTAAATCCCCAGTACTGCTGGGCACTGTGGCACACTCTTTAATTTCAGGACTCAAAGCAGAGGCAGACAACTCTAAGTTTCAGGCCAGTCTGATCTATATGGAGTTGCATCAGGACAACAACAAAAGAGCTACATAGTGAGACTTGTCTCAAAAATCAAAAGTAAATAAATCCCCAGTACTATCCAATAATAAAACAATAAAAATAATAATAATAAAGCCAAACACTATAACTAGGCACTTTAATACACATTAGCTAACTAAGGGGAGAGCTACTTTTGTAGAAGAAATAATAAAGTTTAGAACAGTAAAAATCTCTTGCCTCAGGTCACAGAGCTGAAGAAGTTGCTAAACTGGTATTTAAACCTAAGGTGAATTACAACACCCACTTCCCCCACTGTATCTACAGGACTAACCTACCTCTAGAGAGGAAAAAGCCATGAATTCAAGTTATAGAAAAATATCCAAGGCCCTTTTCAAAGAGTTCATAAAGTACTTGTTAGTGGATACGTAGATTTCACAGTGGCACTTGGCTTTGGATAAGAAGTATGGACTAACACAGAAAGGAGTGTTTCTGCTGCTGATGAACTTTTTCTCCAAGTCTTTTACAAAATTTCAGTTGTTTCTCATTTCTAAATAATGGAGAAATAATACCTTACTATCTAACACCAAACTCTGATGATTAAGCATAAAGTCTAAAAAATAAATAAATAAAAAGATTTTAAAGCAATTATCATCTGTTTAAGGTACATATCCTATTAACTTTTCCAGAACATTCTATGGGCATTTTTTTTCTAAGCATAGTTTAATCAATTACTTAGCTTTTTATCCTTAGATATAATGATATAGAAATCAGATCAATAATTGGTAAATAAATTATATATCATTTTGAAATGCACAACATCCAAAAAAGTTTCCAATTTAGAATTTAATCTAAGTGTGTGTTTGGTGTCACTGCTGTATTTATTAATTTATCATCTTTATGTTTGAACCTTTCAAATTCAGCTTGTGTTAAAAAAAAATTAACTGGAATTCTAAAGTAGAACACCCAACATATAATTTTAAATGATTGTAAGGGATTTCCCTGAGGCCTCTCAAAGCAAATACAATGGCCTACAAGCACTTCAAGCTCAACAACGAAACCCACTGAAACATTAAGCTGCTCTAAAAGAAGGATCAGGCTCCTTAGCAAAAAACTACATTGTGTGAGTCTGCAAAGTTTCCCTCTTTTCCATTTCAACTCCATCTCAGAGAAAGCCTTTGCATACTAACACAATATGCTGTAAAAACGGCACTTTGCTGACCTTCCAATAGTCCAGCTCTATGAAAATTCTGGGATGGGTGTAACTTCAGAGAATCTGAAAAACACAAAAAGCATTAAGTACTTTTTATGCTGAATGAGAAAAATGCCTAGGACAGCATACATCTCTTATATAACTATTATGTATTTTAAGAGCTTAAAGCCCATATAAGTTTAGTCTATTCCCTGCAAAAGGAAGGTTAGGTTGCTTCTACACTGGTCTCAAAGCTAAACTTAGATTTTGATAAAGCATTTGTTTCATGGAAAATTATCTAATGACTACTGCCCAAATGGTGTTACTGTCTTGATTATTTTTAGCATCCAATTGTACATTAGCCCTATTCTAAGGATCACCTCTTGATATTTTCTTTTCCTTCTGACACTTGAGACTACAATATTTCTAAGCTATTTAGGCAATATCTGAGAAACATCCTACAGGATAGTGACTGCCAACTAAAGTCATCAGTGCAACAGACAATGGCCTAACAGTTACTAAGCAGGGCTCCATGTACAAACTCAATAGTCTATAAAGTCAGCACCTTCCAGGATAAACCATATCCCTCTGATTCACTGAAACAATATGACTACACACTAATGCCAGGCTTAAGTCCCCTCCAGTCCCTCAACCCCAAGAGGTGAAATTACCCGGTGGGTTTGTAAAACTAAAAACAGGAGAAATGCTGTATTTCTCGGGAAAACGGTTCACCGTGGTATGTTTTAAAATATAAATGAATCTTTAAGACCCGTATTTTGCCCCCTCCTACTGGTCTAAGTGGTGGAGTACAAACGTGGGTGTTTTGGGTTTGATACCCCTTGCATAGGGAACCTGTTCTGACACATTCTTATGGTGTCCAGTGTAGGAATTTAATCCCAGCAGAGATCACCTCGAGTGTTAATGTTTTAGATGCTGGGAATCCCCTGAAGGCTTTAGCCAAAATAGTTTTAAATGGGAAGTTCTGTTCATTGCCTCCTCTCTGCAAGGAGCCCTTGAAGAGCAAAGAGAAATTTCTCTAAGGGCAGGACTGTGCCCGAGCCTGGTACTCCAGGGAGAGGAATACAAGTAATCCAGGGAGGGCATCCCTATCTTTGCCAGAGAAGAGAAGTAATTAGAATGCCACGGAGGTGAAAGAGAGAAAAGAAGAAAATTCGAGCCTTTTCCAGGCAAGAGGATGACGAGGAAAGGAAGAACGCCTGTTCGAAGGGGGCCGTCCCGACATGGGGAGGGAGTGGACTAGGCCGGAGCGGGGGGGGGGGGGGGGGGGGGGGTTAGGACGACCGCGCACAAACAAGCCGAAAGAGGGAGAAAAAAATGGTGACCCTGAGCTCGGAAGCCGCTTAGGGCCACGCAGCCCCGAGTGGGACAACTTTGCCGGGGACGAGGGTCCGGGAGACAGAAGCCGCGGTGTCCCGACCCCCCGGCGGCGCCGACACGGGGACCAGTGGGGTGATTCCCGAGCCGGGGGAGGGCTGGGCCGGCAGCCCGCCGAGGGTGGCGGCGCCGGGAGCGGCCGCCCGTCAGGATGCGAACCTCGGGGGCCGCAGAGGATTCAGGGACTGGGGGGAGGGGGGTCGGGGGGTTGGACGTGGAACCGGAGCCCCCAGGCGTCCCCCGCTGCGCTGGGAAGGGGCCGCCGCTCCGCGGTTCTCAAATCACCCCCGGCCCTCCCGGGGAGCCCCCGAGCCAGTCCGGGACTTTCAGGAGGGGGCAAGCCCGGCTGAGCCGGGCTCCGACGGGCACCCCCGGGACTCCGCGCGCCCGCGCTCCCCGCCCCCACGCCCCACCCCCCCATCTGACTCACCTCGGGAGTACAGGGACTTGGGCGATTCCAGGTCTAGGTCCGCGCTAAGCAATGAGATGAAGTCCGAGGGCATCGCAGCTCGACCCAGCCCGGCCCGAGGGCAGCGGGAGGGGGGGGAGCGGCGGTGGCGGCGGCACCTCCTCTCCGGGACCGCGGGCACCGAACCGGGGGCGGCGAGGCGAGGGCGGCTGCCTCCTCCTCCTCCTCCTCGAGGGCAGTCACTTCCCAGCCGGCCGAGCGACGAGAACGGCGGCGGCGTGGAAAGCGGCTCTGCGGAGTGGAGAACTGAGTCCCGGTGAGTCCAGAGAGAAGACGGTTCGAGCGGGGAAGGGGAGAGGGAGAGCCAAAGGGTCCGTTTCGGGCTTCTCCTCAGCGCACACTGACGGCCACCGCCGCCGCCGCCGCAGCTGACAGGAATCTGAGCCCCGCCCCCTCGTGAGGCACTGCGCATGCGCGGAGGGGGGAAGCCAGAAGCCCGGAAGAGCCTAGAGGCCGCCGGAGGGCGGACGGGCGCGCCACGGAACAGCATCAACAAGGGCTTCGCTTCCTGCCTTCGCTGCCGCCGCGGCTGCTGATCCCGGGCTGGGAAAGGGCCCCGCCAGCAGGGAGGGAGGAGGGAGGCGGCCTGGCTCCTGGGGCCCCGAGAAGGGTAGAGATTTTTGCCACGACCTGGTGGCAGCGAGCCTGAGGCGGCCGGCCTTGCACCGTGGTGTACGCAGGAGGACCCGGGCCCTGGGGAACCTAGATGTCTGCAAGCAGGGGAAAGACCTCCAGAGACTTGCAGCGACCGAGGCCGGCAGGCTGGAGCTCGCACAGGGGAATGGAGTTCTATGGCTTGGACAGCAACCCAGCCCTTTGGGGTTTTTCATACTTTCTGCAGTGAGCTGGCCAAAGGACTATCAAACTCAGTTTTAATTAAGAGAGGGCAAACCATACTCTAACCACCACCCCCCATGTTATCGAGTTTTGGGGTTTTGTTTGTTTTCGTGAATTTTTGTTTTTGTTCTTGTTGATTTTTTTTTAACCCTTTCTAGCCTGTAGCTCACTATGTCGACCAGGCTGGCCTCAAACTCACAGAGCTGTGCTTGCCTCTGCCAGGTACATGCCACAGTGCCCGGCTACTGGTTATTTTAATTAAAATATTTCCCCCAGGTTACCCACACCGTCTTTATGGTAACTGCATTTATTTATTTAGACACACGGTATTGCTATGTAGGTCTCAGTGACCTGGAGCTCACTGTGTAGATTTAGACTGGCTTCAAATTTAGAACAATCCTCCTAATTCGGCCTTCCGAATCTCATATTACAGGAGAGTGCCACCACGCCTGGCTTTGATCTTTTTAATTTTATTGATAACAATGTCTCTGATAGTGAATGCCCAAGTTTATTCGAGAGTGGAAAATAAAAGACAATTTGAAAATTGGCTACTGTGAGTCCATCTGGCCGTGAGAGAGAGAGTAAGAAGCAAACCTACTCTTCCAACCAGGTTTTCACTTCTCATTATCCATTCAAGTAAGGATGGAGGACAAACACGTAACTGAGGGTTTTTGGCTAGTCTGTTCAGGGGGGCTAAAAGTTTCCGTTGCAAAAAACAAATCCTCACCTACACCACAGACTGTTTCCTGACTCTAATAGGCTTCTGGGAAATTTTTAATCAAGTTATTAAAATATCAACTGGAGCACAGGGTGTGCATCTTGGGAAATAATTTTTAATTTTGTGTGGAGTATGGATGCCAGCAGCCACATGGGCAAAGTTTTTGAGGTACTCGAGATGGCTTGGTTTGTGTTTCTGTGTCTACAAAGCTAGTCACAGGGCCTATTACCCTGCCGATTTTGTATGTGTAAATCCTTCCCAAAGCTTTGTCCCTGTGAATTTGGCCACTTCATCAGGACTTGGAATGCTGGTATTGGTGAAGACTCTCCAAGCAAAGGAGAGCCCAGCGTGGGTGTCTCTGGAGTGGGCCCTTGACAAAGCTTCACCTACAACCTAGAATTTACACGTGCCATCAGAAACCACCTGTCCTTGCCCAGTTTCCCTCAGTGAATTCCCAGAGATAGTTAATCAACCCTGTGAGCATTTTCTTTTGTCAGAGGTAAGAGTTTCAGAGCCACCCCAAGATACGGCAGAGCAAAACAGGAAACTACCCTCAAACTTCTATGGCCACTGCCCTCTGTTGTAACAAGTCCCAAGGGAAGTCCCTTCATAACTTCTAAGAGCCCCGCTCATGATAAGAGAAGATTTAAACCTCCTCTTTCCCAGCAGGCGAAGGCCAATTGAAATCCTATATCTTTGAGGTGGAGTGAAACGTTGGTTGGCGACCCAGCTCTCCCATTAGTCACTCCATAATACATGAAGAGGAAACTGCAGTGCACGGGGCTGAGCCTCGCTACTGAGAAAGCGGGGTGAATCACTGAGCGTTTTCCTTTCGCCAAGCCTATGAGATTGAAATACACTTAGTGTAGGAAATCCCCTTTCTGGCCCTAATTAGCAAGAAGAGCCAAGGCCTCTTCCCCTTTCTTTAGCTCTTCTCTGCCCTTTATTGACTTTTTTCCATCATGCTTTCTAGTTTATCAAATTTCCTCTGATTAGAGAAAAGCAAAATGGCCCGGCGGTGGTGGTGCATGCCTTTCATCCCAGCTCTCAGGAGGCAAAGGCAGGCAGATCTCTGTGAGTTCGAGGTCAGCCTAGTCTATAGAGCAAGTTCCAGGACAAACACCAAAACTACAGAGAAAAACACTGTCTTAAAAATACCAAAAGAAACAAAGAAAAGAAAGGAAGGAAGGAAGGAAGAAAGAAAGAAAGGAAAATGAAGAGGGATCCTCCAAAGTGTGACTTGGGTTTGGCTTTGACAGTTAATTCTCTAGACTGGAATTCCACAGGTCCAGAAGCCATCACCCCAGCAGGTCCTGCACTGAATACTCTGTGTGTGTGTGATTGGAGACAGTGTCTCTCTCTCTCTGTAGCCTAGGTTGGCCTGCCTTTCAGGTTGTCCTTAAATGCCCAGTGATCCTCCTGCCTCAACCTCCAAGTACTGAGAAAGCATGAGCCACCAAGAACAGCAAGCCTTCATTATAACTAACTTAACGCAGATATATATTCTTTAAAAAAAAACTATTTCAATTAAATGTTTAGATCTTATTTGTTATTATGATATGTGCATTGCCTTATGCGGTGAAACAAGTGTCATGGTGCATGTTTCCAAGTCCGAGGACAACTTCGTGAAATGAATTATTGAGTTCCAAGGATCTAAGGACCAAACTCGGGTCTCCAGGTTTGTGTGGCGAGTGCCTTTCCTCACTGAGCATCTTCCCAGCCTGGAAAACTCTTTGGGAGGAGAATTTTGTGTCCATGATTTGTAGCAACATAGAAACCTAGATGTATGCCAAGCATGGCTCACACCTAGGATGCAAACGCTTACGAGGCTAAAGCAAGAGGATCAACCTGAGGTTACATTTGAGTTTGAGACCTTATCTTAAACAAGAACACAATAAAAAACAGAAGACTACCATAGCTCAGGAGCATGCTTGCCTAGAATGGACGAAGCCCTGGTTCCGGTTGTCTGTTCTATAAACACTGTGTGTGAGGACATGCACTTGTACACCTTCAGTCCCAGTAGAGACAAGAACACAAGTTCAAGGTCTCCTTGGTTATATACCCACTATGACCCCAGGCTGCGTTACAGGACCCACTGTCTCAAAGAAAGAAGTAAATAAATGGTGAGCTGAATGCGGAGATACATGTCTGTAACCCCAACACTCAGGAGGTGGAAGCAGGAGAATCCGAAGTACATGGGATCCTGTATCAAGAAGAAGATGTGGAAGTGTGTGCTGGCATCCCAGTGCTTGAGAGAGAACCAGAAGTTCAAGGCTATCCTGAGCCACGCGAAACCTTGCTTCAAAACAACAAAATCAGAAACATTTGGGTGTGATGGCACCCCATGCTTTTGACCCCTGTGCTTGAGAGGCAAGGCAGGCAGATCTCTGTGAGTTCCAGGTCAGCCAAGGCTACATATTGAGACTTCGTCTCAAAAACAACAAAAAACGAACAAAAAAATGGGTTTGTTTTCTTTGTAAATTATATGTGACTTCTAATTCCCATGGTATTTCCCTGTGTGTTCATTAATGTCTCAGTGGCATTCTGCTTTGTCTGGAATTGTAATGATATATTTTAGAGACAATCCACAACCTGTACTTCTTTATAAAATATGAAGACAAACAACAACAAAAATTAAACCATTTAAACATCTAAAACCTGGAAGTTGTTGCTTCTTGTCAAAAATCATAATAGGTTCATGGAACAAAATGTCCAGGTATGGCAGCATGTACATTTTTTTTATATTACTTCCCAATCACATATCATATTCCCTAGTCATTTGATAATTTCACAAGAGCCCAGATTCGACTACAAGATTGCAGAGATTACATAACAGAGTGGCAGTTTTTGTATCAGCGGTGCATTCTTTAACCCCTCCTGAACCTGCTTAGGCACTTTTGTGAACTGTGTGGCTGGATCTACTGTAAATGAAAGAGGTTCGAATATCAGCCACTGAAAAGAAATGAAATAAATGCGTACAGAAGAGAGGAATGTGTTGTCACAAGATCTGCAGAATCGCTGCCCTTGTAATACAATTAAAGCTTTTAAAATGATTTTAGTCACACATATATTGTAAGGAACCTGCTAAACAAACACAAAACCAAAAAGGAAATTTCCCAGAGCAATTTGGGTAATAAACCAAAGCGGGTTTGGGGCACAGATTATTCTTGCCCCACCTTGGGAGCACTCCTTTATAATAACAAAAGAGAACTGATTGTGGTGTGAAGTAGCAATGACCTCATTGTGCTGAAATTCTAATTAAACTTATACTTGCTTATGTTTATGTATCAGAAGCCACACTGAAAACATGTCCTAGCAAATATTCCTGAAGGCAAAATTAGACTGTGTGCTATTTGCATCAGATCTAGAAGATTCCTCTGTCTTCCAAAGTGCCTACATCTTATGATAACCAGATATTTAATCCTATAAAATACTTCTGTATGCTGTTATGAGATTGTCCAGGTCACTTTTGATCTGAAGTCTTACAAACATCAGTCAAGTTTCTCAGGGTTTTGCAGGGATGTCTCGCCTTTTGACAGTGGGACACAAGGTTGTCATCTATGACTTTGAGGTTCATGGATAGAAAACATGATGGCTCAGTGAGTAAAGTGCTTGCCGTGACAAGCATGAGGACCTGAGTTCAGATCCCCAGCACCCTCATCGAAGACCGGACACTACGAATGAGTAACCCAAGTGCTGAGTGGCAGGCATGGCAAGATCTGCAGAACACACTGACCAGCCAGGCTAGTAAAAAGATCATTGAGACCCTATCTCAAAAAATTAAGGTGGAGGGCA